GTGCCGTACGATATTGGGGACCTAAACAAGGAACCTAGTTTAGAGAAGGACCCATATACGTGCATGAACTAAGGTTACCGTTTGAGGGTTGCTTGAAGGGTTACCACGAGGGTTGCTTTACTGGATAAAGGGTTGCTACAAGGGTTATATTTCCCTAAACCCTAAGCCTAGAACGGTTCTGTATTTTGAATTTGCTTTGTGTTTCGTTGGCTTTCGATGGTGGGGTACAGGGCTTGAGTAGATTTAAGTTTCACAGGAGGTGCTTTGGGGTTTATAGGGTTTTGGGCTCTTTCACGGGCTCACCTGGGATTGGGTTTGTGTGCATTAAAGATTCCGGCTTTGCTGCTTAGGGTGCCGGTAAGTTAAAGATTTAGGATTTTCTAGACTCCGATCTCGTTGAACTGGGAAGCTGGAAAAGCGTCTTTCAGTGTTCATGTGTGGTGTTTCTGGTTTTATAGCTCCCAGATCCTGGTGCAAGGTTTGGAAGTTTGTTTGAGGGGGCGTCTTTAGTCTTTGAGACTGGCGCTTGCTTCAAAGCTGCGAAACAAAGGCAGCAGTACTAGTTAATGGTAGAGTGGTAGTGGTGGTAGGAGGCGGGCGTGGAGAATGCGGAGCAATAGCACAACAACCGTGGTCGATGTGCTGGTGGTACTCGTCGTTGTGACTTCAGCTCGCGGCCAAGTCGACGCCGAGAGTCCTACAAGTACCTGCTCAGCCCGTACCAGAACCCTCACACCTTTTCCACGAGTGTGTCCTGAACCTTTAAGCATCTTTAAACTCCCAAACTTATTTCCAAATTCAAAGTACGGCCATGGAAACACCCGACAGACCCCGAATCGCGATGCTACGCTTTCTCGGCCGGGTGTCCGGGTGGCAATCTGCTGGATTGCGAAGACCTTGTCAGATTACCCTCGACCCTACACCCGAAACACCTAAACCCTATAAATATTCTTGAATTTCTTCAGGAGGTCGTGGAGCTCCTTCTCTGCCGCTCCTGCCCATAATATTGCTGCTACTGCTGTTGCTGCTGCCATTACGACTACTACCACCTCCACAACTCATACTCCTAATACCGTTGCCCCAGGGCACAGCAAGAACGGTTGAACTACCAACGGATAGACCAGCAGCAGCAGCAGCAGCAGCAGCAGCAGCAGCAGCAGCAGCAGCTCCAGCACCGAACCGATGCCGCTTACTTTGCAACTGCCACTGCTTCCAGTACCATTCCATCATCGGTGTCATCATCACCATCTTCTACTACCATCATCATCATCATCATCGTCTTCGTAATCGTGCAGACGGTTGGGCTCATGTGCTTCGAACTCTACTGGTTTTTTATAGACGAACTCGGAGACCTTCCACCCTCAAGAAGTCCGTAAAACAAAAAACCCTAAACCCTATGGGGTTTAGGATTTAGGCTTTAAAGCTTAACCCTACAAGCCCTAAAATCGTGATGTTCCTCAACATTGCCAGGGAGCTCCGCAGGATAAAACTAGACTTTCCTACGCCTTGAAAGCTGGAAGCCATCAATCCCCCCCCAGCCTTAGGGTTTAGGGTTTAGGGTATACTGCATTATAGGGTTTAGGGTTTAGGGCTTAGGGTTTAGGGTTTAGGGACTCAGACTGGGGTTCAGGTACTGCTGTATAGCTAGACTTAAGGAACTCCACTCCACAGTGCTGGCAATTCACCGGCCCTCCTCTTCCACCTGAGATCATGCAAAAGCTCGACGCTAAACTGAAAACCTTCAGATTCAGCGCGAGACTTCAAGCTGCAAAAGGTCTACTTTAAACACCTATAGCCTAATTAACGAGTCATGGCCAGTCGCAACTAACTTTCTGTGCCAAATAAAGTCCTAGAAAACCCAAGTAATGTTCACAGCTTACAGCTCTACAACGCGAACTACTTGTACCAAGATACCGAGTGCTATGCTAAGCCTAAACCTGAAACTTTAAGCGGAAACCCTGAACCGAAGCCAATAAACCATAGAGACAGGTTCCGGCGGGCCTTCATCCACTGGGGTGCGCCAGAGACGTCGTCTACTTCGATTTGCCACTCGATGTGGAACTGGGCGGGGTTAAGGGTTTAGGGTGCATTCGGGATACCTTGAAGTTTTGGGGCGATTCTTGGGCTTTGCTGTTTTTCGGGTACCCTAAACCCGAACCCTCAAAACATATATCCCAAACCCAAAAGATCACCACTAGCTGTTGAGCCCCCTTGGGTCACTAGCTGTACACTCTGACAGGATTCCCGCGTACTGCCTTACCGGGTTCAGGGTACCAATAAGCTTACATTATGGGGTTTTCAGGATCAATTGCCCGTATAACGCCTAAGCCGAATCCCCACGCCCTGCACGGTAATCAAGTTTCCCAAGACCCATAAAAAAAATATGAACCGAAGCCCAAATAGCTGACTCTAAGGGTCCAAAGTATCCAATAATTCCGCGCACGTGTTCAGAATAGTGGCAGTGTAGGTCAGTCTTCGGCCGTGGGTATATTGCTTTTCGGTGCTTAGACTCTTAGGATGGAGAAGCCGCGCCCCGTCAATCAACCCAACGAATCATTCAACGTATATGCTGTTTGTTTGCATAGTTGACTATTTGATTGCTTGTTTGTTTACCTAGATAACTATTCGAAGTTGTTTATATGTGTATTCATTCGGTTGTAGGTTCACATGTTCATGTACATCTTTGTTGATTTGCGTTTTATTTCTCCTTCCCAGAGCCTCTATGCTAGTTCTACTTGGTCTTTCATGCACCTATCTTATCACTCACCGACTTATTGAATAACTAGTTTAATCATACAGGACAAACTAGATAATTAATGAGCAAACACGTACCCCTAATGACTAATGACCATACAGGAAAAGCTAGATAGTACCAGTAGGAGGCCCCCCTCACAGGATCCCTACCTATCGTCTCCATTGTAGTTCCTTTTTGGGGATACCTTATACAATCCTAATTACAATACTGGTTAAACCAGAAACCGAACTACAATGGAGACTATAGGTAATTTGATCATACAGGAAACACTAGGTAGTACCAGTAGGGTGCTGCTTGCCGGAGAAGATGCGCTCTGCCGGGTCGTGGGTCTGAGTCGGATCATCGCGTGCCGCACGGTGATGCGAGGCAATGCCCCTGCCCAAAGGGGTCTTGTCTTGGGGTTTGGGGTTTAGGATGGTTTAGGGTTATTAGGGTTTAGGGTTTAGGGCTTAGGGTTTAGGGATGCCCCTGCCCAAACGGGTCTTGGGGTTTGGGGTTTAGGGTTATTAGGGTTTACTTCAAGGAGCCCTTTGGGGGTCTTGGGGTTTGGGGTTTATAGGGTTATTTGGGTTTACTTTAAGGAGCATGGGTCGAAGCAAGTATCGTCACACGTTTGCGGGGTAACTGCATTTGAGTTTTCTTTATAGGTGTGGTTGCCTGGATTCTAACCTTACTTACTAAGCTCCACCACGTTTTTAAGTACGGTCTTCGGGTTTATGGATGTAGGTCACAAGAGCCACAAGAGGCCCGGTCCTTTTGCGGCCTGACTACATAAGGTACTACGAACGAAGGCCCCCGGACATCGGCTTGGCTTCCGCTGGGTGGGGGGGCGCACAGGGGTGTTTGGCGAATAGGCATTACAAGTAGTAGCGCAAAGAGGGTTTATGGCTTGGGGGAAATGGGGAGTATGAAGTTTAGGGTTCAGTTTCGTAGATGAGACTTCCATCTGCTGAGTTAGAGCGTAGAAAGTGCCTCAGGCATGCATCGAAAAGACACTTATCGAACTATCGATTCCGGGTTTATAGAAGTACCTGAAGAACCCAAAACCCACATTTCTGTAGGTTCTTGTTATAAACCCTAATATGGGATTTATAGGGACCCTACAAAAAAGTAAGTTTTGGGTTCTTAAGGTAGGGCTCACGGCTGCGACAGAGGCAAGCCCTAAACTCTGGAGCCCTTGAGCTGACCTTTCAACCCTGATCTCCGCAGGCCCTGGTCTAGATCCTGCAGGTACATGTGGTTAAATAGCATGGACGTTGACCGGAAAGGAGCTCATCTTTGTGATATAGTTGCTTTTATCACGTCAAGGCATGTGCTATAAGCGCACATGGACCTTCAAACCCAATAGCAAACCGCATCAAGCTACCCCCCCTCATCTAACAGTAAACAGTATGGAAGCCGAGTGGGTATATGGACTTCTAATCCAAAAGAGTAACCCTGTGAGGACAAACAGAATCCTGCAAGGAAGCCTCTCCGGGCCGGTATATAAAATGCCGTAGGAACCAACAAGCTGTTTTTGCTTGTAGGGTCTCTGTAAACTCGGTATTAGGGTTTGTGATAAGACGCTACACAAAATTTGGAAAAGTAGGTTGCCGTAGTTTGTATTAGGGTTTAAAGTCGGTTAGTGTAGTAGTTGCCCCCTAAACCCTAAACCCTAAACCGTTAAACGTCGGTTATTGTAGTAGTTACCAGTTGAAGGTGATGCCTGGCTTGGGAGGCAGCTGCACACCCAGCCACTCGCCACCTTCGGAGCCTGCCAACAGAACTTACAGACTTACAGACTTAAAGCCATAGTTTAGGGTAAAGTTCAGGGTTTAGGGCCAGTTTAGGGCTTAGAGCCCAACTTGTTTGAGGTTGTTGTTATAGGGTTTGCAAACATAAAAGCTGGGTTAGGGTTATTTAATGTTATTTGTAGGGTCTCGCGCCTAAGGTTTTTAGGGTTTGGGAAGGGGGTTGGCTGTTTAGTGCTGGGGGGAACACCGCAATCCCACTAAGCAGCTCGAAGCCCTAAACCTCGATGTGGATCGTTTCAAGGGGTTACAGGGACGTACGCCGCTTGCAAGGCATCCCAGGCAGCCTGGTGACAAACCAGAAAAGCTCAGTTTAACTAGGCAAGCCAAGTACGCCAATGAAAAACACCAAACAAGTGTGTAGTTCTCTGAACCGCGTTCCCGCACTTTCGGGAGCCAACACGGGACCCTGATTTGGAGGTACCAGCCCTACAGGAGAGCGCCAGTGCAAAACACTGTGCCTGGTGGTGGAGATGTAACTGCAACCTCCACGCATGCCTGTCGTGGGCGGCGATGGTCAAACACGTGTGCTTGCTTTTGCGACATCTGACACTCCGATATATCATCTCGATCTGATGGTTCAGATCACAATCCAAATGATTACGCAGCAATGCACCGCAAGCCCGAAGCACCCGCTTCAAAACCCTAAACCCTACGTAGTCCTATACACCCCATCGAAGCAGAGTTGTGAACTACGCGCAGCTCCTGATCGTCGGAGAGACAGTCGGCAACATTCACCAGAAGGACGAAGTCCAGGTGGATAAAGAGGACCTGTGGCAAGAAGCTGCTGCAGGTCTAAACCGGAAAATTATTTTAGGTTTAGGGTTCAGGGCTATTACTAAGATTAGAACCCCGTAAAACCTCAACCCGAAAGCCCTGAGCCGTGACCCGCAAAGTGTTTCGAAAAGAGTCATATTGCTGAGCAGGTGTGGATAGGATGATCATACCAAGCAGGTGTAAGAAAGGCACGCAACTATATCCAAAATCTTCAACCCTGAACCTAAACCCCAAAACTTATACCCTGAATCCTAAACCCTAAAAAGTGATCCTAAGTAATCCCTGAACCCACAATACGAAAGTCCGAGACTAATCCGAAAAAGGGGTCCCTAGAGTTAGGTCAGGAGCCTCCTTTCGGATTCCAGAAGTCTTTTCTAGGGTTTAGCTTTAGGGTTTAGGGTTAGGGTTAGGTTTAGGGTTTAGGGTTTATAGGGTTTAGGGCTTAGGGTTAGGGGTTTTCCGGATTTAGGGTTGGGCGGTTTCGTGGGGTTTAGGGTTTAGGAGTTCAGGTTTAGGGTTTAGGGGTTTTCCGGGTTTAGGGACCGCAAAGAGGGTCTGGGCGGTTTATTGTCGAAACATAAGGACAAGAAGGGGCTAACCGTTCAGACCTCTCTGTGCGACCTCTGCCCCCGGGCCCCGCTGTTGATGACAAGGATCTCTCAGGACTACAGTCTTATGCGGCTTAGGGTTTAGGGGTTCAGGGTTTAGGGGGGTTTAGCGTTTACGGGTTCAGGGTTTAAGTTTCGGGTTAAGCGTTTAGGGATTCAGGGTTTAAGTTTAGGGTTAAGAGTTTAGGGTTTCAGGGTTTAAGTTTAGGGTTTAGAGCTTAGGGTTTAGGGGGAACCACGAGCACGTTTGGCGATCCCTGCAAGGAAGCTCGCCATCCAACAGCACAAAACAACCACAGAGTGCCCAAGAGCCTCATAGAGCTGGGCTTTGTTATAACTTGGTATAGTCTACAGAACAATGAAGGTCTCAATATTTCCCCATACGCAAGGTTTAGGCGTTATCGTGAGAGTCAGCGACAGCAAGCGAAGGCGGGTTTGGGGCCTCAAATTAAAAATGGGGCTTTGCGCTTAAGGTTGATAGGGGGTTGGGTGTATTTTGTGCTAGGGCTTTGAATCTGATGATTCCACAGATCGATGTCAGGATCGATGGTCCCCAACTAAATGGGCCGAAAACTCCAAAGCTTAAGCTTAAGCCCTTGCTACCCTGTGGACAGATGGTTTATGCAATACCAGACATATATAATCTACCTAGAGTCTCCATTGTAGTTCTTTTTTGGGGATACCTTATAAAATCCTTAAGATATAATTGGTTGAACCAGAAAAAGGAACTACAATGGAGACTATGGGTACTTGCGAAGCCCTTTGAACCTTGGAGCGCGCTTTTCTCGGAGGTGTCCTCGTTCTCATCCAGGCCTACCTCAAAGGCGATCAGGGCAGCCCGGAAGGATTGCCCAAGACTCCGAATCCTGGGGAGTCATCCGGATTCGCATACGGCTGGCGTGGTTCATCCCAACCTCCGCCAAGGCAGGCAGAGGGGCCACATCTTCGCACTGCTCGGGCGCGGCATATAATCGGCGAGGTCTCAGTCAGCAGACCTGCTGACGCTGAACGCAACAGCAATGATGGGAATGCTTCCATGAACAAGTTGCTGCATGTAAGCTGGTCCCTTGCATGACGTTCTGGCGCCACTCTGCCACCAAGCTCCCTAGTGTAAGGGCAAAGCTGCGGCTGCGCTATACAGCCTGGGTTTTGGGTAAGGCTCCTCTGTCAGGGCCTAGAGTGTAAGGTTGCCAAGACGTTAGACCCAAGAACCTGTGGCAGCAGCAGTTGGTGCAAGAAGCACGGCGCCAGGGCGAAAGTGGCTAAAGTCCAAGCCCGACAGTCTGGACATAAAGTTTGAAGTCTTAGGGTTTAGGGCTCAGGGTTTAAAGTCTTTAAACCGTTAACTCTATAAGGTGCCATGCGCCTAGTCAGTATCTACTTTGACCCTCGAGTTTCTATCTAGAATCTCTTTCAGGCTCAGGTACATACTGCACAGGTACATGGACCCTATGGGAAAGGGTAAGCCTTGCAGCTGAACGTCGCAGGAAAAACCCGAGCATGGGGGGGGGGCCCGAAAAGGGCTAGTGTAGGGGCCTTAATCATTAGAATAGGGTTTGGGGGCTCCTTATTAGATTTATAGAATAGTATACCCCCAAAACCCTATTACTAGTGGTATTGATATTATTCAGTCCACTACATCAATGCTCATGCTTCGTCGGTGCTGGGACCCTGCAAGTTGCAGGCGTGCCTTCAACTTCACGTGCTGCATAAAACCTCGAGCTCTACTGCGTGGCTGTCCGGGCTGGGGGGGTTTTCAGTAAGTTGCCATAAACTAGTCGTTTGTAGGTTCTTATAACCCCGAATGAAAAATCTAGGGACACTACGAAATTAGGCTTTGGTAGTTCGAGGTCAGAGTAAGGCGCATGCAAGATTTCGAAGATGCGGCTGGGGTCTGAATTTTCTGGTGCAGGTGTTACTTGAGTTGTCACTCGGGACTCGAGATTCTAGGCTAGTTGTCTTATCGACTTGCGGTTTTTCGTGTGTTACTGAACTGCATGCTGGCTGCGCAAACATATGACAGAAACACAGGCTGCCCGTTCTGTTGTGCTGCGGACCAAGAACTTTGGGGTTTGCTGTGCGGTTGATGCTGTGGTAGCTCAAATGCTATGCGCTGTCCATACTTTTGCAAAGAGAAGGTTGCAGATTTCAGGTGTCGATACACCCTAAACCCTACACACCAAGCCCAAAATATGATACCCTCCAACCATGCAGATGAGCTGGGCCAGTGTTCTAGAGTTGAACGTGCCGCAAACCCTGAACCCTAGACCGGCGACCTGAAATTCTGAGCCCCCCTGAACCGAACAACTCAAGCCCGAACCAGCAACTTGATTTCCGAGCAGCCCCAAATCCCAAAAGGACCAATGCCCTAATAGGGTTCAGAGTTTAGGGTTTAGGGTTCAGGGAGACCGGATTCTCAAAGAAGAGTAGGATGCTGAATATCACTGCCCTGATAAGGTGCCTTGAAACCTTGGTTGCAACCTTGCAATCCTATGACAACAACCCTTTCATGCCCACTATACCTACCCCAAAAAGCCTTAAAACTAAACCCAAGAAAAGAGCCCTAGTAACCACCTAAATATAAAGGATCCCTCTAAACCCTAAACCCTAAAAGCCCTTTTAAGGATCCCTAAACCCTAAAGACCCTTTAAAGGATCCCTAAACCCTAAACCCTTAACCTTCCAAAAGCCGGGGGACATCCGGGAGAGAACTCCTTCAGCACTCTGCTCGAATCGCAGAAAGGAAACCACTGAGGGTAGTGTGGAACCGCCTGGGCCGGGGTTTAAGGTTAAGGGAATCAGGGTTTAGGCTTTAGGGTTTAAGGTTAAGGGATTAGGGTTTAGGGTTTAGGGCCCGGGATTTTAGGGGCTCGGGCGTGACGTTTAGGGTCTAGCGGTTTGGGGCTTAGCGGTTTAGGGCCCAGGCGATATCGTTTAGGATTGAGGTTTAACACGTAGGACTTGGTCTAAAAAGACAGGATTCTTGAGTCAGGGTTGCGGGTTCAGGGCTGAAGGTCACGATGAGGATCTTAACCAAAGCCTACACCCGTCCTTAGACAAACAGCTACACTGTCAAAGGCTCCTATAAAAGCCCTATAGGGACCCCGGCAACGCTAGCAGTGAAAGTCGCCGCATAATAACGATGATAGCAATCGTATCAGCATAATATCAACGTAAGGGTAGAAAGTAGCCACCCTGAACCTCAAGCTTCGATCAGTGTCGTACAGACGGACATGAGGCTCACATGATAGCAAATGAGCCTTCAGAATCGAAGTCGGGTTCTGGGGAGTAGTTCTGCATCCTGAGATTAGACCCTAAAAACTGGTGATATTTCTAGAGCTCGACACTCGAAAAGTGTAAAACTTGACTACGGCACGTAACTATTCCGGAACTTGAATTTCAACACACCGCAAGCCCTAAACCCTAAATCTAAAAAAAAACCTAACCCCCAAATTGAAAAACAAAACAAATCCCAAAACTCTACGGCCCCGAAATGGGGTGCGCACCATGCAAGTCGGGATCGCTCCACACCTCATGGTTGAGGGAAGGGTTTAGGGTTTTTGACAGGGCAGAAGGGGCGTAGGGTTTTTGGTTAAAGGGCTTAGGGTTTGGGGCTGTCAGCGACTCACCCTTGTGCGGGCTTCAGTTTGAGGTGAACGCTTTGAAAGGGCTTTTAGGGGAGGTGGGGCTCGGGAATGGCTGGCTGAGTTGCTTTTGAGCAGCCACAACGACGAGTTGCAAAGTAACACTGACGGGTTCAAGGAGAGCTGGATTCGTCGTGTAGGCTTGTCTGCCTTTCCAAAATGGTTATCAAGCAAGCTGCCAGATATCAAACGGGCATAAGTTACGACATAAGCCATAAGCTATTTCTGCAGGGATTGGGTCTACTTCAAAATGCTTCTAGCTGCGAACACATAAACACATACCAAAAAACAAATGGTGAGAGAGAGTGAGAGTGAGAGAGAGAGAGCGGCGCACAAACACAAACCCAGGCAAATCACCCCGAAACACAAGACTTCAAGTACCAATCCAAGCGAACCAGCACGAACAAGGTTTTGCCAGAACGAGGGCGGCAACTTCGGACTGCAGGCCTTTCGGCTTTCGGAATCCGATCGGAATCCAAACAAGCAAGTTACCCTATAAACCCTAAGCCCTAAACCCTACAATCACATTTTCAATGCAAAGGCATCGTCTTTTTCTAGCTGTTGGAAGAAGGGCTTCGGGCTATTCCGTCGACCTTACGCATTTCAACATAGGACACACAGAACCTCGCACCGTTATGAACGACCGTGAATCGTAATTCCGCCACTTCGGACACTCCAAGATAGTTATATTCGGGACATCAGAAGTTCGATTATGTAGAGTATTTGGTGTATGTTATGGTATAAACTCAGGATCCTTAAGGACAAATCTCTCTAACTATTCCTACCCCGACATTAGCAGATAAGGCAGTGAAATCGGGGGCTAGGTGGGCCCTCGACACTAGCGGCCCTGTAATTTCCTTCGGGGTTTTAGCCTAGTCCTCAGAGCGCAAGACCTTGGGACCAATACAAGCTGGAGTAACTACATGGCCCTTAACCCTAAACCCCTAAACCCCTAAACCCCTAAACCCTAAATCCCGAAACCCTAAACCCCTAAACCCTAAACTCTAGACCCTAAACCCAGCCCCGGGGGCCATCTTGGCTCCGCCGCACATGACGACGACAGTATGGCACTTTTAGAATGAAGACCGCCCTGAACCCTGCACCCTGGACCCTTCTTGAGGGTTTAGGGTTTAGGGTTTTGGGGTTTAGGAGTTAAAGGGGTTTAGGGGTTAGGGCTTAGGGCTTAGGGTTTAGGGTCCTTCCTGCACCCTGAACTTTTCGTGGACCCTTAACCCTCCAGTACACCCGTAGGTTTTCGCGCCGAGGCTGCAGCACGATCTTGCCATCCTTCTGCGATGAGGCGGTTGAACAGGCTTTGAGGTTCAGGGGGAACCTTTGTAGCATTACCATCAGGTTTCAGAACTCAAGCAGCAACAATTATGATAACAAAACGGTAGCCAAACACTGAGGGTGCGAGTCATCTAGCACTGCGCGACCGACGTGTTGGCTCCCAAAGGGCTTCCTGTTGCCTGGGCCGGAGGCAACAAGACCCACAACTACATACGTACAGGCAGACTTGCTTACCTTGGTATCGAACATCATAAACACACATACCACTGATGCGAGTCTGAACGAGAAAAGCGCAGTCAACACGAAGACTGCCGCGGTCTGAAGGCGTGAGCGTGAACTAGGGGGATAAGGACCTAATAAGGCTTATTCCCCTGCCCCTTACCCCTCTAAAAGTCCTTATGATCATACGGAGGTCTGAAAACTGAACGACGACAAACAAATCCGGGCCTGAATACTATAATAAACCACAAAGCCTTATTTAAGTTACTAAAGCCCCTACCTTGCCATCTCCTATTTTCCTACGGTGTAAATTCACAGCAGGAATAGCAGCAGCTCGACCCAGTTAGCGGACGACGGACAGGCATCACCAGCACGAGCTGGAAATAGTTTTCAAGTCAGTCTCCGCGGGATTGTCAGTTCCACCCAGTCATTCGACGGACTCACGAACCCCAGGCGAGCATCACCAGCATCAGCTGGAAATCGATTTCCGCTGAGTCTCCACCTCCGGCCCTTTGAACCCACAGGGCGATCGGCAGTTCCACCCAGTCCTTGGATGGATTTAGCGAACCCCTGGGCGAGCATCACCAGCATCAGCTGGAAATCGTTTTCAACTCAGTGTCCATTACCGGCCCCTTGAACCCACAGCAGGAGTAGCAGTTCCACCCAGTCATTGGAGGGATTTAGCGAACCGCACGGCGAGCATCACCAGCATCAGCTCGAAATCGATTTCAACTCAGTCTCCATCACTTGCGCTTGGAACCGGTTCGGCGAACCCCAGGGCGAGCATCACC